ATATAAGAGCACATAGGTAGGTATGAACTCCCAGCGTGTGTCTGTTGAACGAAGGCAGGAAGGACAAAGGAAATAAGGGCAGGTTCAGGTTTTTTTCCTTTGCTGTGGTTTCTTTTCCCTCATCCTTGATTGAGTTTGCATGCATCGCTGACCTCTTACTCCTTTTATAATCACTTTGTTCAGCCTAGCATCAGTAGACACGTCTTTCTTTCTTTTTTTTGTGCCGGCCAGCAAAAACCATCACGTCTCTTTCTTCACGTTTTAGTGAAAGACGGTGATCTCTATCTCTCTACAACCGAGCACATTTGTAAGGATCAAAAGACAAAACCAGCTTTGTGTCGAGGATGCGCACAACCAGGTCTTCACAGACACAGACGGAGGCTCTACTTACACCTTTCATGTGGAAGTTTTTTTTTTTATCACAGATGATATCTTTTTTTATCTATTAAAATAGAAGGCTTTTTTTATGCTTCTGTAAACATATCATTTCTGTAAAATCCAACTAGACTGTCAGTACTAGATGATTTATGACAGACACAGACAATGTCTATTGATATTTGAGCTTTTAGATTCTTTTATAATCCAAGTAAAACACGACTGAGTTTTTGCAATGTGAAGCCATGCTTTAGCAAGAGCTAAAGAGTGTGCTAGCATCTCTATGAGGCATTGATGCAAGAGTGGTGTGAGCTGACAATAGCATGCTCACATGGACACTGCAACAATGCTGATGTTAAGATGTTTCATATTTAGCGTGATCACCATCGCAGTTAAGCTCTCAAGGAGGAAAACAAGAACTGATTAGCAACCTGCTTAAATCACAGCACAGCTAATGCAAATGGAAACGTCCACTTCAGCAGTGTTGCTCTCCATCTTCCTCTAGTACCTCCTAAAAGACTAATATCCTGTTTAATTGTTCTTTTTTCAATAAGTGTTGGTCCACATATAGGTGGATCAACACTTGTCCAGTGAAGCGCAACACGTGCTGTTTCTGCTAGAAGGAATAAGAAGGTAGAATAGTAATAAGGGCATCATTATAATCGTATGCTGAGAATATTTAGGGAAAGCTGTGCTGGATCCCAAACCCCAGCGCTCTTTCCTTCTCCCTCTGTTCCCTCTCTCCTCTGACTGATGCTGCTGATTTGTAGGTCATGTGTGAGTATCAGAAATAAACTGAGAGAGTGGGTAAGAAAAGGACTTTTACCCTCTAGTGGTGAGCCTGGGGAAAGGCCTGTCAGAATCATTTATGGGGGGGAAAAAAGATGAATGTCCAATTATCCCTGTTCAGTTGTGCATGCAGACGGTGACCCAGTTGGAAATCAGTTTTACAAATTTCCTTTTTTTTGATTCACAGGCAGCTTTCATCCAGTTAAATGTGAATGAGGCGATGATGCTGCACGAATGTGCAATAAAGTTATAGAAATGCTGTAGAAATGTTAGCAAGCTGAAATAATGTAGGGGGCGGGGAGGGGGAAGAAGGCTATAAAACCAACTTTCACCAGGCACTAAATGTAAGTTTTAATTTTAAATGCACTTTCAGTGTTGTGTAAGCTACATATGCCCAAACACACACACAGACACACAGTCGTTCATACGCTGCTTGCTTTATTAGACACGACATCATAAATCAGAGGCAGTTTTTTGGGATCACTTTCTTACTCAAGGACATTTCAAAGTGCAGCCTGGAGGAACCAGAGGTGGAACTACTGACCTTTTACGTGACCTTCTTGTGTAGTTGTCTGTGTCGTAAATTATTAAAAGTTTGTTGGGGTTTTTTTCAGTTTTTTAAAGTGCAATTGTCTCACTTACTGCTGGTATGTTTCTTCCGTTGCCACGGTATGTGCAAGTACATTATGTGTGGAGAAACGGTCACAGACCACAAAGGTCATCCGTTGAATTGAAACACACACAGTACCATTCTGTAAATTAGGTAAATGAGGGACGGTGTCTTTTACACAATCCTTGGCATTATGGTTGGGAGGAACAGAAAAGGGCAACAATTCTAAAATTCATCATAAATGAGAATCTTAACATTTCACTTTAAAAAAAAACTAAATCTAATAGACGGTGATTCTGCGGGGAGTCGGGAAGGCTTTAATTTTAGGGTCCTTTGACTCTCAAAGTGACGTTTTTCAACAGATAGCTGAATTTGAGGAGACACAATGTGTCTGCATTCATCACAAAACAGTCCTGTTATATTTTACTCAAATCTATATCTCATCTATAACCACATATTGTACATATGCTGCACTTCAAGTAAGTGGCCACTTCATTAGGTACACCTTTTGCATGGTAGATTGGACTCTTTTTTTTTTCTTTTTTTTTTACCTCCAGATCTCAGTTAATTATTCATGGCAAAGATTCAACATGGTGCTGGAAACATTCCTCAGAGGTTTTAATCCATATTGACATGATAGCGTCACACGGATTTGTCAGCTGCACATCCATGATGTGAATCTCCTGTCCCACCACTTCCCAAAGGTCCTCTGATGAATTGAGATCCTGTGACTGTGGGGGCCCGCTAAGTACAGTGAACCCACTGTCATATTCAAGACCAGTGTGAGATGATTTGAGCTCTGTGACATGGCAGTGTATCCTGTTGCAACAATTACTGAAAAATACCAATAACCACGCCTCGGGCAAAGTCTCTTAAATCACACTTCTTCCTCATTTTGATGTACACTTTGAATTTTAGCAGGTTGACACTTCCATGTGATTGCCTGATTTGATATTTACAAGTCTACCTAATACGGTGGATGTATGTTTAAAGTTTAACCTGGAGAAAGACATCCTGCAGTACAAGAAAGTTAAAGGTGAATTTGTCTTAAAGGATTTTTGCAGTTTGTTAGTTTTTTCCAAGTCGTCTGTAGACATGCCAATTTTTAATGTTTGATAACTGTCAAGTGAAAATCTGACAAAATGTTACACAAAAAGTGAGACAGCCGACTGAAAGACACTGCCTAATCTAACCATGGTGCCAGCAGGCTTGAAAAGTCTAAGGATGAGAAACAGAATGTAACTGATTTCCATAACTGAAATAATCCAGGTATTTCTACCATTCATAAAAAGAACATAGCAGCTAAATATTTATCCTACTGTATTTGCACATAGAGCACATACTGTAGTATAATATGCAGTAGCCAAAGATGATGAGAGAAAAAGCCGCTGGTGTAAATTCAGGTTTGCATTGAGAGCATTATCATAAATTAATACATTATAGTGTTATCTGTGACAGTCGGGCATCAGCAACAATGCTCATCAACAGTGCATAGAGGGGTTTTTTTTATTTGTTTTTCTGACACACATAGGCACACATACGCAAGCGGGCCAACACAATCACACTTTCACAAACACGTGCACATAATAACATATGTTTAGAAAATTGCAACAGGCTCAGTGTTTCACAGTTTTGCTTGTCTATATTCCAACACAAAAACTGTGACAATGTATTTGGGAAACAGTGTCCCTAAGCAGGAAAAAAAAATGACTGTATGAAGCTCTGTGGTTTCCTCCGTCTCTTTATTTTAATTAAAAAAAAAATAAACAGGGAAATCTCTCAGCCCTGTGAGCGAATGTGTGGGTGTGAAAAAATAAGGAGACGAGAGTAAGAAAGACATTGAAGGGGAGAGTAAGGGGAATAGAAAGAGACAAAGACGGGGAGTCAGGGAGGGAATAGGTGGTATTTAAAATGAAGATGACACCCGGGATAGTTTCCATTGTGCCTCAGCATGCTCTCTTGAGATGGGAGTGACTTAACATTTCACAGTCTCCTGTGAAACACAGGCACAGTGAGACATAAGCACACACACATCCTCATAGGAGAGTCTTGTTTGGCTCAGAACACATACGAAGGCTTTCTCTTGAGGTGACAAGAAGGGAAATAGAGTTCAGTCTGCAGTTTCACAATGATGGGGGGGGGGGGGGGACACATTACTCCACTGCAAATCACACGTTCTAATTTTAACTGTGGCGTGCTCATTTTATCATTGGAGGTTCGGTGTGTGGTGTGCGTGCACTCTTATCAATGTATGGGCGTGCAATGTATGTGTGTGAACAGTGCTACAGATTTATTTATTCATAGAAATCACCAAACCATCGCTGTACCTGTTTTGCTTATTTACTGTCAATACATAAAACATGAATGATCCAGCCTGGCAGAGTCGCCCTTTCATTTCCTCTCATTTCCCGAATTCAATGGAAATTTCACCGAAATTGATTAAATCCACATGGATATCAGTGTAAGTAGGGATCTGAATCTGGGATATTTACACATGTGTGTAAGAGGCATGAGTGGTCAATCCTAATATGTATATTTTGAGATCACTCCTCAGATGCATCCTTATTCAGTGTCTCTCAAAACATCATTTTATTCCCATCCGCTGATTGACAGCCGATCATCCATCCATCTGTCAATCCATCTTCTTCTGCTCGTGCAGTTTAGGGTCTGTCATAGCCCTGACAGCTGATTATGTTTCATGCATGTCTGTCATGCTGAGTTGACACCATTAACATGTTTGCATCAACATGGGGGTGTGCAAAAAAAAGAAAAGAAAAGAAGAAGAAGAAGCATATATTCAGCAGTATGTCAGCACCTCTCTGTTTTGTGTACTTGTGGTCTTTGGATGTTTTTTTTAAATGACTTAGGGTCAGCTCTGGGTTGTCAAAACAGGGGTTGGTTCTTATAAGGCAGAACTGGCAAGCACCAGTTACACATGCAAGTGGAAAAGTGGCATCAGGTCCAAATCTTGGGAAAGTCACACCTTGTATTCTCACTCTGATGATGCGGTTTCACTGGAATGATCTGTTAAGAGTCCTTTCCCCAAACCTTATTCAAAACAATTCATGAAGTGATGATGTGAATATTTCCAAATTGTAACTGAATATAATTGCAGTGTATACAAGATCGAATTTCCCAGAGGAACCCACCCGAGGGATTAATAAAGTTATATCTTATCTTATCTTATCTTATCTTATCTAAGAGTCAGGCAGCATATGAGTGAAACATGTCCACATACCTTTTGGAAAGTTTCTCATTATAGCTATATTTATTAATAATTTTATATAATTTTAATTGCATTGGCAGGTGTTGACTTGAAGTAGCTGCTTCGGTCACTTGCGCGCAGGTTTTCACACCTGTTATCGTCTCTGGGTTGCAACGGCTTCCCACGTCAGATCTAGCTAGTCTTTTAAAGCCTGAACAAGCGTTAAGTGTAAAGGTAAGCTTTTAGCAGTGTATTTGGAAGTTAAAGTGTTAACTAAATACTTAGTCGCTGGCAAACTCGCGGTGAAACAATTTCATGTTTTATTGTTTTCTGCCGGGACTGGTAGAGGTGCTCTAACGTGTGGTAGCAGAAAGATGCTAACGTTAGCTTTTATCAGTGAAGCTAACGAAGCATTGGTGGCTAGTTTAGAGTTAGACGTTCTTTCCAGTTTGAAACGGGTAAACTTGTTCATATTTTTCCTACTGTCAATTAATTTCAGCTCGGTCGATACTTTTGGTTATATTAGCTAACTCGTCGTTTACTTTTGATAGCAGCTAACTAATTAGCCTCTCAGCTAAACCGCAAAGCTGCAGAAAATGCACACTTAAATTTTGTGTTGGCGCTGTGGACTAAAGGAAAAGGGAAATGTTATCGCCTCTAGACATCACAATTTATCACCAGCTGTCAATAAGATAGGGGTTGTTACTTTTGGTTTGCTGTTAATCGTGTAGTTAGTGTAGCTTTATTGGGATTATATATTTAAACAAAAATGTCATTTCATGAGTATTAAAAGCTGTCAAGGCACAATGGGATGAACACACTCATTCCTACTTTTGTTAAATATGTATAAATGCAACAGTAGCAACTTCACGCCACCATAGGGCGAGAGGCGGGTACACCCCGGACAGTTCGCCAATCCGTTTTATTTATTTATGTATGTATGTATGTATGTATGTATGTATTTGCAGGTTGTTCGAACACCATGACTAGTCGAGGAGCATTTAAATATTCGAGAAGAGGTGCTGCTAGTTTCTGGTCTTTGTCAGACCGTGAGCTGAGCCCACGCCCTCACTGTCCTCAGGTCCACAAGACAGACGATGCAGACATTTACACTGATGCTGCTGGGCTGAGGTAATGGGGGGAAAAAAATGACCGCCACCTTGTCACATGCTGTGTCCACCTGTTTGGACAAGGACTTAACTTTTGTATGTGTTCCTACTCACCTCCGTATAATTGGTGGAGAGACTTGAAATGTCCTTGCACACAAACCCTGCCTTTAAACGCGACAGATACACTTTCACGTTTCTCTCGCACATGCTGGGACAGAGGTAACTAATTTTCTGTTTCACTGCAGGGAAGTGCACTCTTGATGCGTGGGTCAATAAAACCAGGATGTAACTGTTTCTTTGTCAACAGCAATTTGGATTTTATTGTGTCTTACTGAGGCTTCACAGCAGGCAGGTGAACAGCTTGCTAATGAGTCCAGTGTCCGGTCCAAAATTGGGCACATTACACTCTGTTACTAATGAGTGCACCCATTGTTTCAAGACAGTGAGAAAGACAGTGGCTCTTGTGGTTGTAAAACTTCTCATGTACTTGATTTTAATCTGCTCTGAACTTTTACAGCCTCATTCATTTACTTATGCAGTTCTATTTTTTGTGTGCAGTCTTAGCAGGTTGTTAGCAGTGTTTTTTGTTTTTGTTTTTTTTAAAGAGGAAATTGTAGGTGAGAATTATCTTAAAATAAAAGCAGGTGATAATACTGTTAATTTTTAGCTGTTTGTGCTGACTGAATAAGGGATCAGCTGTTCATTTCCTAGTGGGTCTGTGTTTGTTGCCCTCCTAGGACAAACGAACATGCAGCTGGAGACTATGATACAGCACCAGAGGCTCTGCTTTCTGAAGGAGACCACAGACCCCAAATTGAAAAGGGCTCCGTCCCCACACTCAGCCATAATTATGATTCTGGTGACATAATGTTGGAAAATGAGGTAACTATATGAGTATACACAGATCAGGCGTAACACCTTGACCACCTACCTAATATAGTGTTGGCCCACTTTTGCTGACAAAAGAGGCCTGACCTGTTAATACATGGACTCTGCTAGACCCCTGAAGGTGTGCTGTGGTATCTAGCACCAAGATGTTAGCAAGCAGATCAGTCAAGTTTTGTAAGTTGTGCGGTGGAGCCTTATTTGTCCACAACATTTCACAGATGCCTGACTGGGTTGAGATCTGTGGAATTTGGAGGCCAAGCCAACACCTCAAATATGTTGTTGTGCTCAGCAAACCCTTTCTGAACCTTTTTTTGCTTTGTAGCACATTATCCTGCTGAAGGAGGCCACAGCCATCAGGTAATACTGTTTCCATGAAAGGGCGTACATGGTCGCCAACAATGCGAGGTGGTATATGTCAAAATAACATCCACATGGATGGCAGGACACAAGGTTTTTCAGCAGAACATTGTCCAAAGCATTACACTGCCTCTAAGACTACGTCCACACGTACACGGGTATTTTTGAAAACGGAGATTTCCGTTTTCGTTTTAAAAAATAATCCCGTCCACACGTAAACGCAGAAATGAAGGAAAACGCTGCTGGGAACGTGCCAAAGCAACAGGTGGCAATATATTCCTAACCGTGTAGAAATGTTGGCCAATCAGAAGTATAGAAGCCTCGGTGGGAAAAAGTAAACAAAGATGGGGCATAGAAGCAGAACCGAGACGTATGTGTGGAGGGACAGTAACTGCGTGTGTATATGTAAGCATTTAAACACTGCAGAGAGTAGAATTAACAGTAACAGTATTGTAGAAATTCATTTCACCGAAACAATAACGTGGCGCACAGTGTGATGTCAAAAAAGGCGCACACTGCATTTTCTGCGTTTTCTCCGTTTTTCTTGTCCACACGTAAATGCAAAAACGGAGTTTTCAAAAATATCCACCCTGGCCGGAGTTTTTAAAAATCTCCGTTTTCAGTGACCGAGAACGCCGTTTACGTGTGGACGAAAGGTGCAAACGCATAGAAAAATCTGCGTTTTCAAAAAATACCCGTGTACGTGTGGACGTAGCCTGAGATGGTTTGCCATCTTCTTGTATAGTATGTTCTGGTGCCAGGTGTTCCCTACGTAAGAATGCCTCACACAGCCGGCCATGATTGATATGAGGCCACCTTCTTTCATTGCTCTGTGGGTCAGTTTGGAAGCTCACCTGCCCACCACTAAAACTGTCCAACTGCAGCTCTTGTCTTGCTGAAAAGCTGCAGTTTTGGAGATTGTCTGACCTTGTTGTCAAGCCATCACTCGCTCAATTTCTTAAGCTTGCCAGTTTTTCCTGCTTCAAACACATCAACTTTGAGGACAAAATGCTCACTTGCTCGCTCACGTATCCCACCCACTAATAGGTGCTGTGATGGAGAGATAATTGATGTTATTCAGTTGAACTGTCAGTGGTCATAATGTTATGTCTGATCAGCGTATATAAGACCAAGGTTTTCTGAAAGTTCACTGCCGTTGCATTTAATGTATTATGCTATTAAGACTTTTTCATTAGAAATCTTATCTCAGACGATGAGATGCTGACAAGGTCTTATACATCTACTTATCATCTCTTATTCAGAAGGTGTACTTCACAGATTAATTAAGATATGTGAATTAATTGTGGCATTAAACCATACTTGAAAATCTGACATCAAAATGCAATCTCAATATCTGCGATAATTAACATTAAATTGCTTGACTGGCAAGTAGAACAGTGGTTCATACCATTATCCAGTTTAGTGAAGGGGCTCTAAACCACCTGCAGCCACCTTGTCACTTTAACTGTGAACAGCAGAAGTGCATTCAGTGCTTATCTCACACATAACACTGCCTTCCTTGTGTTTCCTTGATAACGGCTCAAGATCAGTTGGCTCAAGAATGATAAGAACACCAGAGTCCTGTTTGTTTTGGGGGTTTTTTTTGTTTGTTTTTTACCCTCCTAAGACCCAAACTCTTCCACAGCAGGCATTTTTAATTTCTCTTTGATGTTTGGGCACATTGGGGCCCGATGAATGTAAAAACAAAGAATTACCAGATTTCTTTTTTTTTTTTTTTTACCTTATTTTTGTTTTTAAGAAAAATAAGAGCCACAAATGAGGATATTAGTTTAAAATTTTGATAGAACAGTAGCAGTATAATGTCGTCGTAACCCAAAATGTGATGTCCACATATGTGGACGCCAGGTCCTAGGAGGTTAAAGAAGGGTTTTGTCTTTCTCAGGCTGAAGATTCGGATGATGAACCAGCTGTGCTCTCCCTTCATGGTATGTCACCTCCTGAAAGCATACTGTCAGATGAAGATCTTCTAACAGAGCAGGTCAAGGACTTAAACCAACCTGATACAACCACAAAGACTGAAGGTACAGTAGCAATTTAATAAAAGTAAGACTTGAAAGCGCTCACATTTTCAGTGGCACTTCTGCAGTTGCTACCAGCTAGTATACACAGAAACACCCTGTTTGATAGTTTGTTCTCACAGCTGCGAATCTGCTCCCTCCAGTGTTAAAGGTACAATTAGATGTCAGTAGATATCAGATTATAGTCATGAATTATTTTTTTCTTACAGCTTCCAATTCAAATGCGTAATCCTAGTTATAGTGGCTATTGTAGTACAAAAAACTCTGGCAGCTGTGTATCTGTGGTTAGTGCAGGAGGTTGTTAAACCTTTCTAAAGGAGTCTGATACGAGATGATGAGTAAGTGAAGCTCACTTCTTTCTGATGACAGTGATACTAAGGCAAGTTGTTGAGGATATCCTGAACTTCTTTATGCTCCTGTTAGCTGGCATTAGGTAAACTTTCTTTGAAGTGGATCTAACATTGTTGAACTCTGACAGTAAGCGAAACAACTCTCACATGATGTGAGAATGTAATCAAACTGCCGTACATTAGGTGGTATAATGTTAACTCAAAACCAGCTGTTGTTGTTATCTGTTAGCTGGCTCATTATCAGCTGTCCAGAGATGGGATGGTTGCATGTCTAATCTGCTGACAGATTTGGGAATAAAAAGCATGTTTATGCACACTTGTATGTGTTAGTTTTATTCAGACACTGGTCACATTGTCTCTTTCCTTTGTGTTTTTGCTTTTTGGTGAAGGGGACCCTTGTCACATGATTAAAAGCATAGGAATGATCCTTCATGTCTTGAGTCTGAATGTGTAGAAATTAATTGCAATTGTGACTGGTCTCTAGTATAAAACATAACACGCAATTAGGTGGAATGGCGAAGTCCATGCATTTAAGATGGTATGTTAATATGGCAACTTCCACAAACCGGTCGCTGCTCTTGTGTATTTTTAATGGATTAATTCTAAGGCTTTGACAATGCATCAATTTGTTTGTAGACGTAACTACACTCTAATCGGTGTATATTTATGAAGGTAACATTTTTATTTTATTAAAATGACCTCAAAAAAGACTGACTGTAACTTTAAAAAAAATGATTGTTGCCTGTGCCTGAGTCACTCTGTCCTGGTCATACAGTCATCGAATATCACTACTGATCACACACAAGTCAGTCATCAACCTCCCTTCAAGAAAATCTTTTCACACGTTCACCCTTTTAAGGCCTTTTTTTCCTGTTGAGATTGAAAGCTCCGTTTCAGGGTTTTCAGATCAGTGGTTTTCAAACCAGTGGTCTTGTTCACAAGACACTCCTATATTCAAACCTATGCAAAATGCCCTCTACTTATTTATTTTTTTTTATTTCTTTTTGAACATATTTTAAGATGAAGGCGCCAAGTGTGACGCCTGCATTTTTCTTTCTGTTTATAAGAAGTTCTGCTTGCTTATACCTCACCTCCACTGCTTCATCAGACGCTTATCTTTGGACTGAAGTGTTGCACGTTTCTTTCAGAAGTGTGCAATAGATTAGTTTAAATACATTTCTCTTCATTTTAGCACATGTGGTAAACTCCTTTGTCACTACCAGCATGAGGGGGAAAAAAGCGAAGTTCTCACATATATTAAGCCAGTCAGCTGACAATGTTTATGATGTGTAGCAATATCATAAACATTTTCAAGGCAAAGTCCTTCTGCTTCCACAGTTTTAAGGACACTCAGATGAGTGATGTCCAAAATACGCTCTGTCCCTGATTATATAGCTGGATTCTGCTGTTTATCTTTCTTCCAGTTTGGCGCACTGAATGGCACAAGAATCACATGGCAGTTATAAGCAGTGAGAAGTTTGACAGCCTCCTGAAAATGTGTCCAGATTTCTATGCCTGCAAGAGCCACATGGCAGCATTTGTCTTGATAAGAGGTAAGCTTCTTGTACACGTGCAGTTTTCCATTAGATTTGTGCACTTCACTGCAGGATTTTATTGTTTTCATAGTAGGTTATAAGTGGCTCCTGGATATTTAGTAGATGTATCCCGTTTATTTTTAACCTTTTTTTTTTTTTAAAATCTGTATCTTAACAGTGCTAAAGAGGGAGACTAGTTTTACTCTTAACTGTCTATAAATGCCTAAAGTGAGCCTGTACCAGTGGCAGGTCATTATTGCAGTAGTATGTTAAATGTCCAGACATTAGCAGTCCACATCATGAAGATTTCAAAGCATGAAAAAAAAGGTCGCACTCAATTATCATAAAGTGTGTATGATATCACATGTGAGCCAACTGGAAATTTCCATTAAATATGATGGGTCACTCATTAAAAGATAATATTGTGGAATTAAAGCAATATATGCAGACTCTTTCTTTTAATAATCATGGAAGCAGAAGATATGTGTATATAAAAACATAATTCTTTGGCACTTCTATGTGAAGTAAAATAACGGAAGTTATAATCTGAGCGAGTCAATTTAGAAGAACCATTTAGGAGATGAAACTCCTTTTAAGACACACAGTGTCTAAATTGCACAAGCTGAGAGCTAATTCGATATGACTACCGAATGCACGACTACACAACTGTGCGGCATTCCTGCACAGAAGGCCTCTTAGTTTTTTGAGAGTTGCCATTTAGACTGATGTAAAGTAATCTCCTATTAATGAGGTCAGCAGTACAAGCAGTCCCTATGAGTCTAAAGGTTCAGGCTTCACAGTGTTCTAAATGCTCAGTTCCTGACAGGATTTGTTGTTGTTGTTGTTTTTTTTAACCTGGTATCATCAGTTCAAGCGCACAGCATCTCCGCACATGTGCTATTCAAACCTTCAGTCGTTTGAAAGAGAAATGGCTAAAGATTCAGTCACACAGCCTTAAGGTGCCACTTTTATGGTCAGTGTTAGGATGCAGGTAGCTATTGGAGTGTTCTCCTGAACAGTAGGTGTCACCACTGAGGAGATAATGCTACATCAGTGCTGATAAAGGAAGTAAAGTTAAAACAGGAAGCAAAGACATTGAAAACAATGTTGTTGTTTTTCTCACTAAGGTTGTGTCCAAATTCATGGGCCGCGGTTTACGTAGGCCGGGTCCTCAGAAGGCTGGGTAGGCCGGAAGTAAACCGCTGTGAAATTGGACAGTCTAGCTTTCAGATTTGCGTCTTGGTGGAGTTTAATAAACTCAGCTGCTCCTTGCTATCTAAAATATAACGGGACACTGGTGTAAATTCTCGACTATCTCACACTTCTGTTTATTCAGCTCTGTGAAAACCAAGGAGGAACCCACCCAGGTGATTAATAAAATGTAATTTAATCTAATAACTTTAATCTCAGCCAAACTGATTTACTCACGAACAAATAAAACACTGAAAAAAGCCAAACAATAACATTTTTAGGTTATCTAAGCGACTCATATATCACGTTTAACCTGAGTAGCAAAAGACCGCGGTGATCTGAAAATGATGTGCCGGCAGTTGTGCCGTTCTCGGCGGCTCTAGTGACCCTCGAGCTCCCGGCTAGCTATTGATCTGGTGGGTAACAGATGTCTCCAAAAACGTCGGAGCACTTTTGCAAATATGTGATATCTTGATAAACCTAGCAGATATTTGAAGTTTACACAGCTACATTCTCGCCTGAAAATATGTTAAGTTTATTTTGTGATCGAGAAAGAGTAATAAGATTAATATTAAAACTTAGTAGCGGGCCCCCCTGCCCCCCCCCCCCCCCCCCCCCCCCCCCAACCCCCCCCCCCCCCCCCCCCCCCCCCCCCCCCCCCCCCCCCCCCCCCCTTGTTGAAAACTGGAATTGGCTGGGCCATGCTATGATTTCTGGGATATGGTGGGCCACGAAGGACACACCCGACCCATCCTTCAAATTCGGGGAAAAGGAGGACGCATTTGTCGGCTGCATTCGGAGGAGTCTACGAATTTGGACAGCCTTTGGCGTGTCGCTGTGGCGTAATCGGCCTACAAATGCGGCTTCAGGAGGATGCAGCCCATGAATTTGGACACCCCCCATGTCTCTAAAATGTCTCTAAAATGTTTCCAAACTGTTGCACCATCTCTCTGTATGTAATCTGTTATCTGACTGACTAAATCAACATCAAAACAGCACATCAGCACAAACAGATGTGATATAACTTTAGTCATGCCATTCAACAGGTGGTGAACGGAGAGCATAAAAGTACCTTTAAGAGTCAGTCACACAAACTTGGACACAGGTTGAGGACACCCTACCAATTTCTCATAGAGCAGTAAAGAAAGTGTGAAAAATGCTCATCTTCAAAGTAAAAGCTGCAACTTTTGGAATCGTGCTAGTTCCAGCGGTAAAGAACAGTTTTCAATTTAAAGGCAAAGGCTCTCCATATCTGGTTTATTATGATCGTCTCATTATTGTACCATTAGTAGTTGGTGTTAAGTGTTTGAAGAAAAGATGGCATTTTCCATTCAAACTAGAGGAATAAAAAAGAATAAAGAGAAACGGGAACTCAATAGTGTGAATGCCTTACAGCATTTACACAATTATGGGCATCTGCGGCAATCTGCTAACAACTTTTCAGTCACAGCTCTGGTTTTAGGAACAATTTCAACAAGTAAAAGCAGGGAACCACTTGTCAACAAGTCAGGGATTACAGATTCTTCCCTAGTGACTGAGGTCTTAAGAGGAACCAAAATTACTTGTTTCAGTGGATTTGCTGCTTTAAGGCCCAGAATAAGATAACTAAATAGTATTTTATAAGCATCATTCTGTGTCATCTTTACTTCCATCTCTCGCAGTCATTGTTAATTAAAGCTATCGCTAATGAAGCTTTGAGAAGAAAAACTATCTTTTCCCCACAGAAGTTCTGGATACAGCAGGTCGTCCATGTGAGCAATACAAGGTAGTGGCAGTGGGATCTGGCCGCTCAAGTTGTAGCGAATGGCTTTGCTACAATGGGGTGATGGTTCATGACAGCCATGCCATCATCATTGCCAGACGGGCTCTTTTAAGGTACTAACTTCTAAAATTAGTTCCTAAATACTTCATCCAAATCTCAAGAATGCAGGTGTTAAAGTGCTGGTTCTGATTTAGAACACCTGAACTTCAAATATCTATTCTTAATATTCAGAATGAAGATGTAAAAAGCAGGCTGCAACATCTCACTTGCTCTCTACCAGTTATAATGCTTCTGATTCACTGAAAGTGCTGCTGCAGCTTAAAGTGGGAATAATATTTATTTTTCTGGCTTGTGTTCAGGTTTCTGTATAAACAGCTTTTGCTGTTCTTTGATGCTGATCCAAAGGCCAAGGAGAGCTGTATTTTTGAGAGTAGTGCAGCCAGCCACCAGCTTCAGCTCAAACCCAAGATCAGTCTGCATCTCTACACCAATCAGTGTCCCGAAGGAGCTCCTACGAACTTCTACTTTAAGTACAGCAATCTGCTAATTATCCCATTCTTTTGATTCTTTCTTTATACATGTTTTTAAGTCATATTTTCCTGTGTACTTGTAAAAGGTCTCAATTCAAATCTGTGGATTTATCTTCCAAGAAATGTGACATTTTGTACATGTTGTAAAACACAGAATAATATTAACCTTTCTATGGGTTAATTTTAACTCTGTTTATAATGGACATTAAATTTTGTCCATTACTCATGAAGATTAAGTTCTAGTAAACTAAAATGTAACATAATGTCCTGTTTTAGGGTTTCTGCAAACGACACCTGGACCTCTATGGTTCTCCAGTATCATTTCAAAGGCCTACTGGTCCCTGTGGCCTACCTTGACCCGAGTCTCTGGGGCGCCAAAGTCTGCTGCATGTCTGGCAGTGACAAACTTTGTCGCTGGACTGTTACTGGGATTCAGGGTGCATTACTGAGCCACTTTATTCAGCCGCTTTACATCACAAGCATGGTACTAGGTAAGACGCTTAAAGCATTTATTCTTTATTAGAAGGGAAGTGCAGCTAGACCCATCATGAATACCTGGATGTTTTTCTACAAATATTTGGATCAGCACTAGAATGTAGTGGTTTCTTCCGTTGTTCATGCACAAGTTTCATGAAAATTGGTGTTTTTTCTACTATGAACACATAATTTATTCCCATTTTTTAAAGGTTGGTTTCCAAAGAGCTGAAAATGGTCAGGTACAAGAGCTGAACTAAAAAT